TGGAGACGCCAAAGCCCACGCAGCTCAAGCTCGAGTCAGGGCCCATCCGCTTGACAGCAAACCCTCGCTACCGGATTCTCTGTTGGCAGCGATTGACTACCAATCCTCGGCGACCAGTGAGGTCGTCAACAAAGAGAGGCGCAGCCTCTTAGGCTCTCTGCGAGCCAGGGCCTCCGAGTTGGGGCCTACAGCCGAGATCTGGCGCTGCCAGATGGACCCAGGAGTCCGCTCCATAAGCGGCCACCTGAACCTACCTCTCTTACAAGAGCTCATACAGCTGACACAATACTCGGATACCCAGCTGGCTAAGGACATACAACAGGGTCTGCCTGTGATCGGCAAGATGCCGGAGATAAAGGGGGTCTTCGCCCCGCTCAAGTCAAATCCTGACCCGAAGGAATCCAATAAGAAGAAGACGAAGAAGAAGAAGAAGTTGACAGCGTCTCAGCTCTTGGACGAAGCCTCGTCATCCATGAGAAAAACCTTGAACGAGATCCGTCTAGGAGAATTCGACGAGGAGATTTGGACAGCCACCCTAGCTGAGGTAGAGTCGGGACTCATGGAGGGTCCATACAGCCACGAGGAGGCATTCCAGAGGTTCGGTCGCCACGTCATCTCTAAGCGCTTTCCGGTCAGACAACCGGATAAGACGAGATTATGCGACGACTATCGCCGGAGTCAGGTTAATGCAGCCACCGAGTATACCCAGCGTATCACTCTCCCGACTCATCATACGTTGGAGGTGGCATGGAGGAAAATGTCTAAGGCACGACCTGGCGAGCCTATGACGATTTACAAGTCGGATCATGCGGCAGCTTACCGACAAGTACCCACTGACCCTAATGAAGCCCCCTTCCAGCTCATCTGCGTAAAAGGACCCGATGGCGAACCGGCTATATTCCGACATCTGGCCCTCTCGTTCGGAGCCAGCTCGAGTGTCGTGAACTATTGCAGACTCTCTCAATGCCTGATCCATCTACATAGGGTGATGTTTGGAGCGGTGAGCATGTCGTTCATAGACGACTACTGGGGAATAGAGCCAGCCACCTCGGCTGCCACAGCATACGAATGCTGGACCGTGCTCAATGAGCTCCTAGGATTCAAAGAGAAGGAATCCAAGAAGGCACCTCCCTCCTCGGATGTTCGTCTACTGGGGCTAGACGTCCAGCTCTCTGCCAACACTCTGACCTTGTCTCTCACTGACGAGAAGCGCAAGCAGCTGTGCAATTCCCTCTCCGAGGTATCACAGTCAACTTTCGTCAGCCCAGGCAGCATGAGGAAGCTCTGTGGTCGATTGACGTTCGCCTCCGCGACGTCCCCAGATCGGTCGTGGAGAGCTTATACGAGAGTACTCTACTCATGGATAGCCAACGGAAAATCACTTGTCTCGCAAAGGGAAAGGG